CGCGGTTCAATCCCCCAGCACCACATGCCAGCCAGCCCCACCCCCTGGTGGGCTGAGCTGGCCACACACACACACCACTCTCTCTCTCTCTCTCTCTCTCTCTCTCTCTCTCTCTCTCTCTCTCAAATAAATAAAAAAAAAAATATTGAAAGGGTTTTTTTCAGGCCTGGTGGTGGTGTACACCTCTAATCCCAGTCTTTGAGAAGCTGAAGCAGGAGGATAGTGGCAAATTCAAAGCCAACCTGGGCTACACAGTGAGTTCAAGGCCAGTGTGATCTATATAGCAAGACCCTATTTCACAAAAAGTAGGAAAAAAAAAAAAAAAAAGAAAGAAAAAAAAGTTTTCTGTAAATTACAAAAACAACACAATTATAATACATCAGCCAATAATTATAAGCTTAAAACATTTATAACTGTGTGTGATGGTGTAACAGAAAATGCCCCCCACACTTTAGTTTCTTAGTTGCCCAGGTAACAGTTCCTATTCCAGTTGTTCCTGTCTCTTAGTAACAGCTGGTTACTGCTATGCATAGCTGTTCACTGTGATACACATTATTGAAACCAATCCTCAACTGACAAGGCAATCTGCCTCTGTACTTCCTGCTTGCTTATCCCATATAAGCCCGAGACCACCAGAGGTCAGGGCCTGACATTCTGGGAATGATCCCAATTGTGTCCACTGATGTAAATACAGTTGCCTCCAACTCCTGGGTGTCATTCTGGTGTTTCTGTTTGCCACTGCATCGATGTGATGTGTCAGCTGAGACAATTAACCAGGCTAACCTCTTTGGTCACGGATCAGGGACCTCATGGGCAGAGCAAGGACCTTCTCTAGGCCCTGGTGGGAAGGTGAGCCCTCAAGACTTCTTGAGTCCCTTTAGAGGTCTGGAGGAGGATTCCTGACTCCCCACTTGAGTGGCTCACATCAGGCCCAAAAGGGAGGATGCAATCTGTCTCTGTTTGTCTATCTGTCTGTCTGTCTGATAGCAGAAAGACCCCTGGGGCACCTCAGTTAGTTAGTCTGTCTGTCAGTCCTGCTCGGCTCAAGCAGAACAGGGCAGTCTAATAACCTCCTGTTAATCAAGACCACCTCAGGGAAAGGGGGTTGGAATATTTAACCTCTGAGTGCCTACTGAATGAATGTGTGAATGAGTGGCCCAGACGGCACAAGCAATAGGCCGCTCCCTCTGTGCACCAAGAGCTGGAAGCACTGGTCTCTGTGGCTGACTGGGTCCGCACCTGCAGTTCTCTGACAATCGACATCGGCCATAACGGAGGCCTCAAACCCTCCTTAGCTAAGCCACACCTAAGTTCCTACAAGGGGTACAGCCAGGTGAGCAACTGAATGGTTTCTCTCTGAGGGGCACTGACCTCCTGTGAACACAGGTACACAACACACACCATAGGAAGTTGGAGATGGGAACTAATTAGTTAGAACCCATAGTCCCTGACTGTAGAAAAAAAGGGCTTTTACAGAGTTAAAAATGAAAAGCAGGGCCGGGGAAATGGCTCAGTGGAATAAGCACTTCCCTGGCAAGCGCAAGGGCCTGAGTTCAATCCCCTGTTCCACCAAAAAAAAAAAAAAAAAAAGAAAAAAAGAAAGAAAAAAAAAAACCAAACTGCCCAAAGAAAACAAAAAATGAGCCAGGGAGATGGTTCAGTAGAATAAGAGCTTCCCTGGCAAGCGCAACAGTCTGAGTTCAATCCCCAGTTCCACCAAAACAAAACAAAAAGAAAAGGTATTCTATACTATACATCTTAGTTTGGGCCGGGGAGATGGCTCAGTGGAATAAGAGCTTCCCTGGCAAGCGCAAGAGCCTGAGTTCAATCCCCGGTTCTGCCAAAACAAAAAAAGAAAACAAAAAATGAAAAAGAGGCCCATTCTTCCAGAGAATTCCTCCTTGACACCCTCATGGGAGACTGCAGCTGCTGCCAAAGTTTCTCCCCTTCCCTGCTCATCTACTTCCAGCCAATTTAACTGGTTCCACATCACCACTGCTTACATTTGGCCACACAGCACCCGCCCCCCACGCCCATGCATCTATCATCTCACACCCACCCGAGACGACTGTGAGCCCTGACAAATGAGTTGTACCCTGTTGGTCATAAATACACAGGACAGATGAACCTCTATCAAACTGGGCCCCTGAGAGCCCTGTAGTTATTGCAAAAGTTGGGGCAAACCTGTGATTTCTGATAGACAATGGAATAGAACTTTGTCTCAAAAGTTCCCTGTCAGGGGGCCTGGCCCTAGCTCAGGCCTTTAAGTGGCTGCTTCCACAAAGCTCTCAGCCTCAGGTTGCTGGAGTTCGAACCTCACAACTCTCCCGCTGGCCAAAAGTGCCCCGAAGGCGTTCGAGGAACAAAAAAAAAAAAAAAGTTCCCTGTCATAAAGTTACCATCACTGGGACAACTGGGACTCTTGCTCCTTCTGCCAGACACAAACTTGCAGCCTGGGAGGACATCTTACAAACTCAAATGAAGCCAGTCCCCACAGTGCTGCCAGCATGAGACCTCCTCTCCAAGCTAGAAGCAACCATCTCCTGTGCACCAAGCCGGTCAGCTTCCGTCTTATTTAACTCTGAGCTTTCAACTCTGACTGTTCCCAGAAAGGAAGATGACGCCTGCATCAGCCTCAGACAGACAGCCACAATCCTGAAGTTCTAAAAACTCTCCTCCCAGAGATTAAACTAAAGAGTTGCCTCCAGGCCTGGCCGTCAACCATGCCACCTCACCTTGACTCCTGTTGCTATCGATGTCACAGGGAACACAAACAAGCATCAGCCACACATCAGCCTGATAAACCTTTTTTTCTTTTTTTTTTTTTTTTTGTGGTGGAACTGGGGCTTGCACTCAGGCCCTTGCACTTGCCAGGCAAGCGCTTATTTTACTGAGTCATCTTCCTGGCCCCCTAGACTATTTTTTTTAATCTTTTATTTATTTTTATTTATTTGGTACATGGTCTTGCTACATAGCTTGGAGTAGAAGTGATCCTTCTGTCTCAGCCTCCCCAGCACTGAAATTATAGGTGTGAGCCACCATGCCCAGTTTCAGGGATGGCATGTTGCACCAGGGTTTTGGGGCCAGCATGGCATGCAGTACTGGAGATCGAACTCAGGTCCTTGTGCTTGCCAGGCAGGCACTTAGACCACTGAGCTATCTCCCCAGCCATAGCCTGATAGACTATTAATCACCTTGAGCAAGATCTCTGTGCTGTCAATAATGCGGCCATCATGTATATAATCCTAGCCTTCTAAGAGGCTGAGGGACGAGACTGCAAGCTCAAACCCTGCCTGTGCAATTTAGGGACTTATCACGATCCTGTCTCAGGGGCCGAGGAGATGGCTCAGTAGAATAAGCGCTTGCCTGACAAGCGCAAGGGCCTGAGTTCAATCCCTGGTTCTGCCAAAACAAAAACAAACAAACAAACAAACAAAAAAACAACAACAACAAGATCCTGTCTCAGGGGGCTGGGGAGATAGCTCAATAGAATAAGCACTTGCCTGGTAAGTGTAAGGTCCTGAATTCAATCCCCAATACCAAAAAAAAAAAAAAAAAAAAAAAAACTGTCTTAAATGAAAAAATAGATAAGGCCTCGGGATATAGCTCAGTGCAAAGGACCTGGATTCAATTCCTAATACAGAAAAAGAGGACATGCCGGGGAAATGGCTCATTAGAATAAGTGCTTGCCTGGTAAGCACAAGGGCCTGAGTTCAATCCCCAGTTCCACCAAAAAAAAAAAGAAAAAGAAAAAGAGGACAGAGGAGGAGGAAGAAGGGGCAAAATCATGAATTTTGAGTGAAAGAACTTCTAAAACAGTACTCTAACATATAAAACTTATGTTAATGAATTGGTTGACTTCTATATCCAAACATAGTCACATGGAAAAGCATGAATGTTGGTGAGTAAAATAAACCAATATTGGTGTTTGGCTTAAGCTCGTTCAGTGTAGTAATATTAATGGCTAAGAAACCTGAATTTGACTTCTTTCCATGGAGAGTAACTGACTAGAAGCCTCCTGTAACTTTAATTAGTCTCTCTCCATTACAATCAATCAAGAAATTAAACTGAACTTTGAAAGAGCAACATTTTTGTTTCCATTTCACCAGTAGGAAAACATATAAAAGTAGGGTTGGGGATATAGCTCAGTAGCATAAGTGCCTGACTGGCAAGCGCCTGTGTTCAACCCCCAGTATCACAAAGAAAAAAGAAAAAAAAGAAAGAAAAAGAAAACTATTTAAAAATAAAAAAGAGGAGCCAGGGAGATGGCTCAGTGGAATAAGCGCTTCCCTGGCAAGCGCAAGGGCCTCAGTTCAATCCCCGGTTCCATCAAAAAAATAAAATAAAATAAAAATAAAAAAGAACATATGAAAGTGACTAGTTACAAGCAAGAATACAAGAACTAGTAAAAGAAAGACAATTTCAGAAAGAATATTTTGAGGACTATTGAACATTCCTCAAAATAATTTTTCTTTGCTGTTGTGACTTTTTTTTTTTTTTTTAATGTGTTTGGTACAGGGTCTCACTACACAGCTCTGACTCAGTGATCCTCCTGTTTTCAGCCTCTCCAGCTCTGGGGATTACAGGCATGCACCACCACGCCCGGATTTGGTGGGATCGAACCCTGGTCCCTGCGCTTGCCTAAGCAGGTGCTTAGTTCACTGAGCTATCTCGCCAGCTATGTTGTGAACTTTTGACACAATAGTATGCAAGGCAAAACCTAAATTACGTTTCACC